AACGACGGCCATGGCCAGGGCGATGAAGCCGGCGACGCGCACCGCCCAGGCGAAGCCGACCTTGGGCGTCAGATACTGGATGGTGGCGGGAAACGTCACGCTGCCGACCGAGGTGCCGACCGCCGAGACGGCCAGCGCAAAGGAGCGGTTCTTGTCAAAGTACGAGCTGAGCACGGAGATGGCGGGCATGAAGGCGACGCCCAGGCCGATGCCGATGCAGACGCCCTGGGCGAGGAAGATTTGCCAGTACGTGCGGGCGAGGCTGGTCATGAAGGTGCCGAAGACGGCGAGGAACGTGCCGACGGCGACCGTCTCGCGCGTGTAGCCGGCGTCGGCGAGCCGGCCGGACACGGCGCAGATGACGTACGTGAAGAAGATCTGGACGGAGCCGATCCACGAGACCTGCGACGCCGGCAGGCCCAGCGTCTCGACGTAGTACAGCTGGTAGACGCCAAAGGCCGCGGCGTAACCCCAGGTCAGGGCGTTGATGAGGTGCGTCGCGAGGACCTGGAGCCATGCCTCGAGGCCGCCGTCCGGAGGGGGGCCGTAGTCCTTTTCTTCTTCTTCTGCGAGCTCGACGTCCTGATCGGTGTTGTTGATGGCGGGCGGTATTGAGCCGTCACCGTCGCGATGGGAGAGGGCGGTGCCGAGGACACTGGTTTCGTTTTCCCGGACGACAACGGGGCCTTTGGGGGAGGCATCTTTCTCATCATTTCGCAACGTCATCATGGATCAGTGAAGGGGGGGAGAAGACGTATGAATAGAGGAAGTGAGTAGGGCGTATATATTAGTCGACAATCCAAACCAAATGAAGAGAACAAGACAGATATATGTTAACGAATATATCAAATAACAAGAACAACGAAGCCACAAAAGTCCTCGAAAGCCATGCCACTCTTGAATTCCTAGCCCAGCTACCATCGAGAAAAGGAGAATAAAAAGAGACACAGCTCGTTGATTTGGCTTGCCAAGGCCAATGGACTTATATATGTATCGTAATAAGTACGTCTCCAGTTCCAACTAACTCTCGTCACCATTGCGTTTCCGGGGCTTCAGGTACACGGGCCGATATATATATGTAATGAATACGTCCCAAGTCAATCAACTACCTCCGAACGCAGTGCTGACGAGGCGTGACGGGGGAGGGGGCGTTTTCCCCTTCTTCTCGCCTTTTGACTTTTTATCTTTTACCTACTATTTTGGCTCTTTTGCTGTACCTTGCGCCTAAGCCCGCCCATGGGCGCTGGTGTAATCGCCGTTCCGTTCTTCGGGCATATTCCCCCCCGATATCGCCCTCCTTTTTTTTAGATAATAAGTCACCGGACACTCTATTTTTGTTATTAATTCGGCTCTAGACGGTAAAGGAACACGGGTAGGTATGAAGCTTGAGTACGGTAGGGTACTATAGCTGTTATTGCTGCTGCATGTACGTAGTGTGATAGTGATGGTTTACCCAATCGCGAAAGACGAAGTTGCATTGCGATTTTGCAGGTAACGCTGGCAGCAGAAATCAATGGAGATGACACAGCGTAACAAAAACATTGTGCTCTGCGCGTATGGGCAAAAGTAGTTCTGGGAAAGGGGAGAAGTTGCACTTTTTGGCCTAGGATAAGGTACGGTAAGGTGCACGATCCGATGACTGTCACATATCACCCCATCACATGGACAGAACTTGATTCAAGATAAGGCTTGTTGAAAACAAGGGCTTGTAATCGTGTAGAGAGTCACATCTCATCTGTCTCCTCTCTCTCTCCCCCCGATATGCTTGTTGCCCCCCCTGACACGACCCCGATGTAAAAGCTACTGCTTGTACCTGGCCTACGGTACAATAACGTGTAAATGAGATGACTCAGCCGGGAATAAATCACAGGGGTAAAACACACATACAGCCGGATATCGCAAGAGACACAGCCGATTCGGCAGCTAAAAGGAACCGGGGCATCTCTCACCGAGCCCGAAGCCCGGCTGCAGATGGGTCCAGCTGATTTGCAGAGCTTTTTCTGTGGATTTGTGTCTTGCCAAGGCAAAGGGGGGCGCTGGATTGCGGAGGACTTATCTGGTAGTTATGGGTGCAATCAATTGATTGATGGATTCGAGTGCTTGGATGTCGATTTGTTTCACGGCATGTGGCTCTTGTGGTTTCGGGGGCGGAGTCTGGTGGTGGGCTTTTGGGAAGATTGCATGATTACTCCGGTAATTGGCCGCCCTCTCAATGACCTACAAAGCATGCGGCAGCAGACGCTCCAAACCGATCAAGGACAAAGGAAAAAGAAAAGAATCAACAAGAATAACCCAGCTAGATAAAACATCTAAGCACAGCAAAAAAGACTAGACACAAGCAGCGAAACCAATCACGCATTGGATTCCCCAATCCTCACGACCATCCAGGGTAAGCCGTTGTATGTACTCCTCGGCCTCGCGCGCCCTTTACCTCCCCCCACCAGCGATTTCCCCGCTCCGATGTCCGGCCCCGGGCCCCACACTCCCGACAAATCGGCATCTCTAGAACCTTTTTTCTTTTCTTCCATGTTCTTTTCTTTCTTTCCGAGGGCGCACACGCCCCCAAGCCTTTCAAATCAAGCACACCGCTTCCGAGGAGGTCATGCGCATTATGCCAATACGCGGAAAACTGAAACCAGCCACTCCCAGGAAAGAAGAATATAAAGGAGGACTGCCAGGCAATCTATTAATCCTCGCCGCTTTTATTTCTATTTTTCCCGTTCTTTCATCAATGCGGATTTTCCTGCCCGTGAGGTATGGAATGGGTCGATGTCCTGTTTCGTCAGTGGCTTTCTCTGCGGGTTCTCTCGCGCGCGCAAAGTTGGTTGGCGGTAATTTCACGCCCGAGCTACGAAGTACCAGATCGCTCTTCGTAGCGCCCAATACTAGTCTAAGTTGCGAGCTTCGCAAAGCAAGATGCATACCGGAAACACAGCGCACGAAAAGGCGTTTCGCATCCCTCCTTTACGCACTATTATCTCAAAAAGAACAAGAAAAAAAAAAAAGAGATGAATTTATATAAGAAAGAATCAACAGGTACCAATTATCCTCCAAATCCCTTCATTCTTCACCAACCTTCCAAAAGTTCAACCCCTCCACCACCGCGGGGTAAAACCCAACCAAAAAAACATCCCAATGACGTAAACACCCTTAAACAACAACACAACTTTGCTCCCATCCATTGGTTTTGCTTCCCTGGCCCGTGCAAAGTCACATGACACACCCCACCCCTCGAACCAAAAGACACAACACAAATAAAAAACCACATAACGAGCCAACCAATCGGCTAGTATCATACACCCCCCCCACACCCCTGGCACTTGCACCCAAAAAAGAACAACACCCCCATCCCTTGCGCCGGCTTCTGCCGGCCCGTAACGTGCGCTAAGGCTGTTTGGGGAATGGTGCGGAGAGCCAAGTTTGACGACATTTGCAACTTTCGCGGCGAGGGACTGCTTTTATCTTGCGATTGAAAGAATGGTATCAAGGAAAGTCTTCATTGGGGAGAATGAGTTTTGCAGTTGTGGCTGATGGATTGGGATGCGCTGGATGGCGATTGGGTATTTTAGGGTGCAAGGGCGGAAATGGGATGGGCTTGGTGCCGTCTCATCTTTTGCGCCTTGCGCCAGGCAACAAAGGCATCGGCTCCATAACACACGAGAGACTGGGCAAAACACGCCCTCCGATGCGCAATTACAATCGCATACTTTCTTATTCATCACTCAGGTTATAGAACATCGCATCTCACCGCACAGAAGCATCATATAAAAGAGAAAACATGTTCCCGTATATTTGAAGCGCGATGGCGCCCCTTTTCTCCGCTATGCCGCCTATCCTCCCAGGTCCAGCCATCCCCCTCCCAACGATAACGGGAACGACCTGCACCCTCTTGTGACGACAGCCACTCAAAAGAAAAGAAGGAAATAGAACCCGCAAACTACCGACCGCGAATCGCTGAAATTCGACTCAACAGATAGGAAACTTTGAGAACATGAGAAAGACGGAGAAAACAAGAGACGAAGATAGGGGAAAGAAAACAGCAGAGGAAATGAGGAGGAAAAGAAAATGAAAAGAGAGCACCTCCATCCCCGCCACCCGTCCGTTGTCAAGGAACTAGACAAGTTGTAATCACACCAAAGACGAGTGCTCCAACCGGCGAAATTTTTTTGCCACCCTACCCGACCAGACCTTCTTACTTTAGACATAGGATGAGAAATATGGAAATGAGAAGGAAAAAGAAACAGGAAGAGAGAAAAGCGTTGAAAGGGAAAAAAAAAAAAGAAAAGTGGAAATACTTGGACGCGCTCCTCCTCGCTCTCGTTCCAACTTTCGTTGGCGAGACACTTTTCCAAAGCTCGCCACAGCCGCCTTTTTTGTAACCTCGCCACGTCCATTCTCAGCGCTCCTGCTCCATTCATGTGGTTTGCACACAAGTTGTAGAGTTGGTGCGTGGGTGTGTGCCCTTCTGTTGTTGGTTTGCAGCTGTCTTCTCTGTGCAGCTTGCTTGGTGATACTTGGGATGGAAACATGTGTAAAAAGGAAATGGAGAACAACCAGAAGAAAGGATGACGTAACTGACGGAAAAAAAAAAATGAAGAAGAGAGCCGAAAACAGACAAATGACACCTGATAAGACATCCGAACGCCAGAAGGAGTGTAATGGCCCTGCATTGGCCGTCGTGATTACATCTTCATAAGAGCATCAAGGGAGAAAATGAGGACCCCGCCGGAAAGTAAATCTCAAACCACCTCGAAGGGCTGGCTGTAGACGTCGACCGCTGCAACCTGTCCCCCGGCCTCAAATCCAGGGGTCGCTGGACAAGGCCATGGAGACAGGTACCAGAGGGACTGTAACTAACAGCCAACGACCCCGATACACACAGTTGCCCGCGACCGAATCACAAAGAAGAGGGAAACCTCTCTTTCTTCCTCGCTTCCTAGTCGACACACATCATACAGACTGTAGCGCGCAGGAAAACAAACCAGGTCAGGATTCGTTCTCTACCGCTTGCGCTTCTTGGCCTTGTCGGCGGTCATTGTGTTGGCAGCGATGGGAGCCGCGGGCAAAAGCGCGGGCTGGGACGCGATGGCGATGTCTTCCTTCTTCAAAGGCACTCCCATGTGGCGGCCATAGCGGCCCTTTCGGCCGTTGCCCTCGTCCTCGCTAATGCACTGGTCCGCGGAGAGGCCGGCGTCGCGGCAGCGTCCACAGGGTCGCTGGCGGTCGCAGCCCTTCTTGCTCTTCCGGCAGCGCTGGCAGCGCGGCTTGGTCGACAGATCAGGCTGCTCGTCCTCGCCAGCCGGGGACACATGGCCGACAGACGCCACCGACTGCTTCCTAGAGTGGGTGGTC